CTTGTTTATCGGCACAATCAATTTGTTTTCCCATCAAGGTCTGTTTTACCATGTGTAGGGACATCCAAATGTGTAAGGCTATTGGAAACCAAAAAAATAAAGGAATGGGATAGCTATAATTGGATAAATTCGGCATATGAAAACACCAAAATCAATGATTTTTTTCAGTGGCTGCGTGACCTTGTGTCTGACACATTCATATGCAAATGACTAATCTGTGAAACAAACAGGGGCGGAGACAAACCACTCAAATGTTTGGAAACACTCATTGTGTGTCAGATAGCTACTGATAACACATCCTAACATTGCTTTGTCTTGAGTTTATCTTTGAAACTTATAGGCACACCGATTAAACCTGTGTTGTTGATTTTGGAAAACACTACTGAGGCTGCCTTGCTACCCTTCAGAAAATCTACATTTTAACCAACTTACATGACATTCTATGTTATATTGACTTTATCATATGAAAGTTTATGGTGCATTTCATCAATTAATAAATAAATTTGAAAATCGTAATTTTCAACACAAATAATAGTCTCGCTATCTTAACAGTGGGGAATTTACGCTGCAAGGATTTTAGTCGGTACATAGAGTTGTATTATGAACAAACACATATTGTAGTGATTAATACAAACACCTACCTGGCTCTGATCACTTCCATTTTAGTAATGAAGCGTAGAATTATCGAAAGCTTGCACAGTTACTGACGGGGGCAACGTACGAAAAATCAAACAATTCGAACACAACTTGTTTTAGTATTTAGTACCGTTATACATTGCACCAGAAGTGAGATTCATCGTGAGGCATTTTGGCATGAAATTATGTTTCATCGAATTAAACTTCAAGAATCAGTTGCTGTGATGTGCACTCATTTTTAAAGAAATGCATTCCGTTTTCCGGCCAACTACTTTTAGTCGTACACGATATGTGGGTTAATGTGACATACACGTATATAATTACTGATTAAATAGGTAAATGTATCACTGGGTTTTTATTTAAACAATATAGTATTGCACAGAATGGCAGAATAATTGGACTGGTGAGCGATCCCCGGATATTGTGTGGATTTATACATAACAAAACAATCATTAAGCTTACTACTCTTGTTCATGATTCATCATGATTGAAATTCTTACTTATAACATTGACGCGCTATGACAACAAAACTACATTTCTTCTCCACACAGGTATCTATTCCGGCGTTGAATGACAGCAAGTATATTGGTATGAGTGTCTACAATGTCATCATTTTATGCATCATTGGTGTATCTGTCAGTCCTATTATACACTACAACGTGAACGCGTCTTTTGCTTTCCAGTCTGCCATTGCATTGTTTTGTACTTCAATTACGCTCTTACTTGTATTTGTGCCAAAGGTAAGATTATAAACATCGTATTAAAACTCACGGTCAGCAATCAGCTGCCGCAGTATCATACATGTATTTAGCGTTTGCTCAAAAAATGGTATCAACATTTTTATAAGTTAGGGAAGCCAGAACGCAGAGAATGTAAAGCTGACGAAATGTTCATAAGAACCTCTGGTATGCCTCAAAATGTCAAAATTATTTTACAAAAAAATTCACAAATAACATATATAATCCCAGCTTGTTATACATAATGTACATTTCAACATGTTTATCAAAATGCAGCAAAGCGAATAAAGCAGCTACATATATATCGAGAAAACCAGATTTTCTTTCAGACTATTGCATTGCTACCTATATTGTCCATTGTTTGTTTAATACCATGACAATATCCCTCACGTGCAGATTAGGCTGTATATTGAAAAATGGCTTCCATGCAGGGCTTTAATTCATTATTATAATAACAGGGAAACATTTGAAAGAATACATTGGATATCTTTCGTAGAAGAATTAAACATCTGTTAAAAAGTGAAACCCCACTCTCAAAAACATATTAGAGACATTTTCCTCAGATGAGCCTAAACGTCAATTTCAACTTTATTCCACTTCCTTTAATTTGAATCCTGTTAAATGCATATCGTACACAATTACACAAAGTGTTCGTCTGACGTCACTTTCATCGTTTTTGGGTTGTTATCCTCATCACAGAGGAAATATAACCTGAGACAACTAATAAATGTATTAGTTGTCTGAGATATAACATACGTACGTTGTTTATTTTTGGATTATAAGATGTGCGCTTTCAGTGACACTACAGTATTATTGTTTCACCATGTATGTTTACTAGATTGTTTCAGTAACCAAACATCCAGAGGGAGAACCAGTGTCCACAATGAAGACCCATACACCGTCAACTCAAGACGCCACCGCCAAACATGTAGAAGAAATGGTTAAATTACAAAAGAAATTGGACGAGGTTAGACAATTCATATAACCAACTACATGTACACTTGTTTTCAATATTAAATAATATTATAGTTTTGTTTATAGAATAATTAACAGCTCATATTCAGAGTATATCACACGGTGTTCTCATATAATAACGCACATGTTAAACAAGAGTGAGTAATTTGCCAATGTTGTTGAACGCAAACACGAACGTCGGAATCAAAGACGGCATGGACAAAACTTTCTAAGAGGTGCTCGATCTCATGATATTTCGTCGAACACATTCTACATACAGTCCAATGAACAAACACAATTTGATTAATGCCACGTCGCATGAAAGCTAATAGGTCATGTCATCACGTATTGCGACCACCAGTTCATGAAAATAATATAGATGACAAAACAGCATGTGTGGCTGAAATAATAATTATCTCTTCTATTGGTAGTTAAGACAGAGTTGCGACGTCGCTCATTGGCTTTTTTTATGCATAATTGTTCATACATATTCATAAGTTGATCACGATGCAAACCTTGCATATAGTCAACCTGCCATAATTTCAGTATGCAAAAACATACATTTATCCATACAACTTGTACATAATCAATTTGATATCGTTTATACAGGTCGAAGCAAAGTTGAACAAATCACAAAGAGGTACCTCAAATAGACAACAAGCTGCAGGGGTGAACGTTGACAGTGGATGTGGGCTATGGTGCTTTGGACTGATTTGTGGTTGCTGTTCAGCAAACATCAACAAAAATAAAGATACAACAGAAGCAGACAAGCACGCCTACACTAATGATATGATGGACAGTGGTAGGGCAGATAGTATACTAGAACTTTAAATATGGAGCCTCAGATCATCTTCAAAGATTTTGACAGGATTGGCCTAACAATACAAGTACTTGGCTATTTTTACATTGCTATAATCAGTAGCAAAAGCAGCACATATTTCAAAAAAGATATTGTACATTGCACCTAGATGACCTATTCTTAGGACACGTTTATATCTTTTTATGAAAAGAAAATATTAAATACATTTGTATAAGTGATTTAATTTCTCCGTTTTTAGTCAGCATAATGCTTTGCCGTTATGCAGACATGCGAAATGGTTGTTTTCAACAAAGAGATGTACATTCATTAAAATCATGTGATCATAATTAAGCCCAGTAAGTTATTCCGTAAATGCAAGAATCGTCTTTAGTATTTTTGTCAATTTGTATGTAGCATGGCAATACCTGTTTGTATTTTGTATTATATATTCCGTGAATGTATTTGAATTTTTGCTCAGAATACCAAGCATGTACATGTATGTACGTTGTGTGATACTAATGTTACTGCTGTTGTAATTACAGCTAAACCGATCCTTACAAATTATATGCTCCTGCAATTGTTTATTTTAAAGAAATTGTTTGTATATTAATGAACAGAAAGTGTCTAAATGTGTCATGTTAGGTAGTTTATACGAGTTGGAAATTTACAGACATAAGCCAAATGTAATTTGTAATTTTGAATACTAACATTATAAATATAGTCTTAATATTCATGGGCCTGATTACAATTCGAAGAATGGTTTTGAAACATCTATAGAAAGTATTGTTTTGAGTAATATGTTTCCCACAAACAAAAACACTGTAAATTCATTATTGAAAGTCTTTTTTGAATAAAAAAAAAATAGACGTGATATTGAATTTTTATAAATGTTATGACCAATGGAGTGTGGATTGTCTGTGGATGGGATATGTTTAAAAGTTATGGGATTGAACTGGAGATCATTCCAGGTTGCAGCTATGATTGTTGTAAAGAAAAATCTGTGCTAAAACAATAAGTATTCGTGTGAAATAATTCTATATCTTACATTTATCTATATCTATTATTTATCTATACATTGTACAACCAAAAACTGGAACCTACTTTTGCTACAATGCTATACTATCTAACATACATCTGATGACGCAAGGTCATTTGGTTTTAAAACACTATATAAACATGAACATGTAAAATAACAATAGAACTCTGCCAAGTTAAAACCCAGCAAAAAGCATCAAAGTAATGAAATTAAATACCAGTGAAAATAAATGGTTTTACAGTATAGGTTGGTACAAGAAAGGCCAAAATGTCAATTGAGTTCACTAAACTACAAATCACCTGCTTAATATACATCTATCACAAGGGAACATAAAATTTCAGCTCTTTTCAAAGAATAATTATTAAAGCCCATGAAGAATCTAAGAAATTAAAGCTTAAAAGGAACATCAGTTTGCTGAAGATTATTGGGTATGAAGTATAGATCAATATTCCCCTTTTTAGCCATAACATGTCGCCCAATATAGGTCCACCTTTTGAGACGTACAAAGTAAAAATGTCATGACTCGCATTGACATTAAAAGAAATCTCTAGGAATATTAAAATAGAGGAAATCAGACTGTGGATTTTCCCAGAGCACAGATTTTAATTTAAACCTGTAAAGCAGTTATTTAGATATAAAAAAAAATGCTTAATTTAATCAAATTAAGTTATTAATATGCATGATTTCAACCCTAAACAGACCATGTCTGTCAAAAAAACCTTCAAAAGCACCCATGTAGCAAGGTTCATTGAAATGAGTGGTTCTAGAGATTATAGTGGAACAGTTAAAAATTACTGTGGACGTGTGAATGAAAGGGACCTTATTACCAACATCGCCAGCAAACTTGCTAACGAATCGCCTGTGTTGATGTCTGGAGATCGTTATCAATTTCAAACACCTCATTCTCAAAAGGAGGCAATGGTATTTACTGAGAGGGAGCACACATCTTTATGCAAAATGTTTGTATCTCTTGTTTTGTGCTATTTTAAATGTAATAAATTATAAAGTACAAAAACAACTACGATAAAAATTAAAATGGAAAATTCATATAACCGATCATGCCCCTCTCTAAAGGTATAAAGGTACCTCCTGTTGAAAATGGACTGGCGTAATCTGATAACGATCTCCAGACGCCAGTTCCAATCAGTACAGGCGATTTGTTAGCAAGTTTGCTGACGATGTTGGTAATTAGGTGTTTCTTTCATTCACGCATCCACAGTAATGTAAACTTATTTAGGCAATTATTACACTGATTTTAATGCTTGACAATCCATGTTGTGTGTATCCAGGCAAACCCATGTACCTATTTTCACTTAAATAGGTCAAGTAGTTCCTGAGATCTAATAATGAATGGCTGAGTATATGTAAATTAGGTAATGTCCAATATGCACAGACTTCCACCTTAAGCAGAGCACCTACATGTACATGCCAAGTTTCATTGAAACCCAATGAGTGAATCTTGAGATATCAATAGAACAGACACACAAACATACCAGTATAAACAGACATACAGTGTATAACTCATTGTGTGCTTCACACACAGGAGTAAACAAATCTGAACTCAGTTAACCAGTACCGATATGCTAGTTATTTATTATTCTGCAGATGTATTTACAAAACTGACATTTGCGGGTCTGGGCTAAAATGATTCTTGTATCAATCAAAATTTCATAACGATTTTCAATTTACTATTTGTAAATTTATTTAAACTTAAAAATAATCAAAATTAAAAACATAGCTTTTATGCAGTCTTCCGAATGAAATGAATGTAAACAAAGTTTGTGCATTGAACTGTTCTTTTGAAACACTATGTACCTAAATGTCTGTGTCTTTGGTGTAACGCATCAAGGTTTATCTTGTTACTGAGTTGCTTTTGACTTATTGCCTTTACCCTTTGAACTTTTATCACGTTTCTTCAAACTGTCCACATTGGCTTTTAAAACTGTTGCATAAGCCTGTAAGAAGAGATTAGACACAACTATTATAACTACCATGCCATGTGAAATGAGAAGTATGGCAGTTCACAAATTATGAAATATTGATTTTCAGGGGCAGTGTTCTCCCCAGGATCAGAGGCAAGCATGGCGGACTAATTTGCATACTAATTTGCATACTATACTAATTTGCATGAAGAGCACTACAAAACTAAATTAAAGACTGATGTACATATTCAAGATTTGTACCACTGTCTGAATTTTTTTGTTTATTATCTGTTAATTACTAGAGGACTCAATAACATTGTCATGACATCTTACAGGACTTTGTTGTAACACTTACAGCTGTCCATCAAAAACAAAGAAGGGTGTTAATAATAAATAGGAGGGCACTACCAAATGAAGATTAGAGAAGCAGAAATAAATTTTAACACAAAGTGTGCATGTACAGATCATGTACATACAAACAAACAAACATCACAGTAATTCAAACAAGAACTTACCATCTGAAATTTATTGACATCTTTTGAACTAATCTGTAAATGAAATAAAATATTAACAAATTTCTACCGTAAATCAAAATTCCCACATTATATTAGTTTGGCCAATAGTGCGCTGTTTTGAACTATGTCTGGTTTTAATGCGTGTACCACCCAGTAAATTAATGTACATGTAACATCTCGTCATCATTAATTGTTACACAATTGTAAAGCACTATGCAAGCTAATATGGTAAACCTTTTGGAATAAATGTTGCATGTATGCTCGGTCACATTAATTTTGGTTTTACATAGTACCCTGTACTATGCAAGCTCTAAACTTAACTATGTTGATGTATAGTGAGCTGTTTTGAAAAAAGATATACAAAAAAATGTACTGCCTCAATCCACACAATGAATGAATTATGTTTTGTCTTCCTATTAATTTCGACATTAATTGATAAAAAATTGTGTAGCATTATGCAAGCTATAAACAGAAACTTTTATATTTAGTGTAATTCCTTGCAAAGAAGACACTGGATATACTTACTACTGTAGTAATTTTTTTCTTTCCGTTTGTAGCTCTGACTAAACATTTATGTTCTTGGTGGTCATGTGATCCATCTGATTTACTGGCTTTAGGTTTTGGCTTCACTTGTCCATGGTCTAAATCAACATATCAATTTATTGAAACTTACAGTAAGCATGTGTTGCATAAATAATTGGTCATAATTAATTTCAAATACATTGTAGCATATAAATTACTCTGAAATACAAAAATACTGTGGAGTTGAAAGACATTCTTAGTATGCACCATGGGATGTTACAGTGTTCTCCGCATGATGCAAACAGCGCGGCGGTGGCGTAGCACTGTATTGATTGAGGTAACATGATAGTTTACGATATTCTCAACTCCAGTTTCCACTACTGCCAGGGATACTTCATACAGTACAGTTGTTATTGTTGTCAATTAACTGAGAAACCTACATTACATATTTTGCCACTGTTCAAATTTGAGAACAGTTTTGGCAGACTAGACACAAAACTTGCATGCAACTCATGGAAAATACACTGACAATACAATCACTCATTTTGTCAAAGCAAATGTTTTTGGAGCTCAGTGATGTCACATGCAAACATGCAATTATGACTTTACAACACACCAGCTGATAAAAATAACTTTTATTTATGAGCAGGAAGCCATAAAACTACCAGGTTCTAATCTATAATAACACTTCAGTTGTTAGCCTTGTGTACATTATTTAATGACAGAAATAACAGATATGTACACAGGGATACACAGTTGCGTGGTGTAGTACATGTATGCATTGAACTACAAAATGAAGTAGAATGAACTGACTTTAATCCAATTTCAGTTTTTTGTTTTGAGCTAATTATTCTTTTGTATACACTAGCCTTCTGCTGGTATTACAATTCATATTGAAATTCAAAGTTGAACTTTAGACAAAAACATGTGCTACGGACAATTATTTTCAGCTGAAATGAGAGCTTGCTTTAGAATACTCCATGTATTAGGATAAAAAATCAAACTGAAATATTATCGATAAACATGTACATGTATGTAACAATTTAAAGAGCAAGTCAGTTTAAATCATGATTGTAAACTGTGTCCACCAGTTTGACTTGTTGTTTTTGACTAGGTTGCAATGAAAGCAAAATTACTAATTTGATTATTCACAACTGGTAAACCCTTCATAAACCAGCTAAGTATTATCTTCGGGAGCAAATAGTCAGCAGAAGTCATGGAAACAATGGCATCAATGTGAGTTCACTCTCCTTTTTTTAGCTCCATGAGATACATGTATGTCAGTATAGCATGATTCTTTTTTCCCAGTAGTTGAACACGTGCATCAGTTATTGGGATCGTATTTTTTTGTAATAGTCATACGTAAGTTACTGAATTTTAGGTAAAGTTTTTAATTTTGTGGCCGCCTTGTATTTAGTCTTTGTGTTCAACCATTTTAACTCTCTCATTTAACTCTCTCATTCAATAACTTGATAACTGAAATCTCAAAAAAAATTCTATAAGTAGTAATTTAGTATTTATTATTAATTTTTTTCCGATTTGTCATGGCTACTCGTTTTATATTTTATTTAGGGGAGTATCAATGACAAATTCCCCCCCCCCCAAATAGTACAATGTACATGTCGATTTATTTAGATTGTTACGGCTCGAGTGACCGTGGGTAAATCATAGTGAATTCGACGACCAGAACCAGAAACGACACGACTGTGAGTATAATGATGCACGGTTTCTAGTAACCGTTGTGAATAGGTAAAAAATATACTATACTCACACTTTTTCATTGTTAGGTAGACAGAACCAGTCGTCCTGGACTTCTGAAACAGCTTCGTTAGCTCATTTAGAAACTGTCGCGAGAGAGGAGAACGCCTGAGCATTACTAAAAATAAAGGAACTTGCATAGCGGGAAAAAACACATCAACATTTTATATACAGTCTCACATAATTAAACAAAACTTACCGCATCATTTTCGAGTAACACCATATTGCACCAGATCTACGCTAAATCTCAGTTTACTTCCTGTATATTTACTGGGAAAGAATCACTATGAAAGGATATTCCTAATTGGACATCACTCCAAGCATTTATGATACAAGCCAATCAAATGTGCCGTTATACAATTTCCCACAATGCCATTTTTACCGGGTAGACTCACAGACAACTTCACGTGT